GGAGAAGTTAATTTGATTTTTCAATTTCAACTGAGAAGGGTACCTACAAGTATCAGTATCATCTTATGAAATTTATATGATCTTATTTTTATATTAATCTCAGTTACGACATTTTTCCATAAATGAAATATCAAAATTAATAATAAAATGAATGCAAATACAAATAACAGTAAATGTAATAAATGTACATAAAATTATAGTATTTTATGTACAATTCTGATAAAATTTCATAAGAAAGGTACCTATAAATTAATTAGATACCTTTCTTAAGAAATATGAAATTTAATGTCACTCTTAACAGTTTTATTTTAATTTCTTTACAATATATTTCCCATAAAGCATCATAAACGTAAAGGTGAAAGCTAAGTAAAAAAAAAAAAAAAAAAAATTAGACCGCTGAAAGTTTTCGTCAAAAATAACGGGGTAAATAATTTGTTCACGTAAATGTAAATTATTTCACTTTTCTCCTTCCGTAGAACAAATTAGCCTCATGGAATTCGTAAATATATCATTCATCACATGTCAAGAGACGCGAAAGTTTATGACCTGCTTTGTTTTATTTTCAAATTACATCTTTTTGGCACAAAAGCTAAGTTAAGTTTGGTTCAAAATATTTTAAATAAACATTATAATTTCTGATTTTCTTAAAATAAGTTTTGAAAAAATGATAATTGATATTTAAAAAAATTTCAAAGTCAGATTTCTAGTTTTTTTTTTAAATGGAAAAAAAAAAGGTCAATTTTGCTGTCTCAAAAAAAAAAAACTAGATTTTTAACGAAAATTTCGGACGTGCTAGGAACGATTAAAAAATGGAAAAAAATACCCCAAAAATTCTTTGACCTTTCCTCTTAATAATAACAAACATTTAGACGATAAAATTTTGTTTTCGTCAAGTTTGGCGTCTTTTTCATCATGCTATGCTCTTTTTTAGCGATCTCGTGGAGGTACCTATCTGAAATGTTAAAAAAATTGCTGCCCTAATACATCCTATATTATCTGTCTATATATCTCCCACATATAGTGCTGGTGTTAATAAAACAATGCCCAAAATTTCATATATATATATATATATATATATATATATATATATATATATATATATATATATATATATATATGTGTGTGTGTGTGTGTACGTGTGTGTCTGCGTGTGAAATGGATTAAGTTTGACAACTATTTAATATATTTTCTGTCTATATGTTATTTTTATAGATATAATTTAAGTAAATGCCGTTTTTCAATTAAACAGTATTAATTACATTTACCAGCCTGAATGTTAGAGAAATTTCTCAAACACTCAGGATGGTAAATGTAATTAATACTGTTTAATTAAAAGACAGAGCATTTACTTAAATAAATTATATCTATAATAAAAATAATTTGTAAGCAGAAAATATATACATACATAGAAAGGCACAGTGGAGTAATGGATAGTGGCTCAGACTGAGGAATTGGAGAACCAAGTTCAAATTCCAGTTGAATCCATTACATTCACTTACGTGCTAATACCCTCGGGAAAGGTGTGAATCCTCTTCTTCTCCCTCCAGATATGGGTAAATAGCAGAACAGACTGGGTTCTATAGCCTTAGGTGGCAACTGGTCTAACAAAAGCAAAACTTAAATTCAAAACTGGACTGGGTGCAAAACTTGATGTGCAGATAGGGGCTCTGGAGCCTTGCAAAGCAACCTATCTAGGGAAAGGTCATTTTGAAATATATCCTGCATCCTTGCACATCGCTCATCTCATGGCAGCATTTGCACCAGAAAGCAGGCATTGGACAAGAGAGTGGGACTGCGAATGCACAAACCTTTCTCACTTAAATTTCAGGTGCAGGTCATTCTACAACATTAGAAAGGACTCATCGGTAATGCATTGATGGATACTCATGCAAAGTGTGTATGTAAGAGACCATAAATAATTTTCATTTTTGTTTATCAGCTTTATTTTTCAAAATATATATTATGATTACAATTTATTCAATTATGTAACCATCATTATTTGCAAAGATTTGTTGATACATTATTTGTAAAATTCTGATGCAAAGTTTTCAACGATCTCTTGAATCTGGTTTCATTAGAGAAAGTTCTCATCAAAGTGTTTTGCAGCAATCAAAACAGGTAATATTCAGTTGGTGAATATGGCAGGTAGAGTAGAACCAATCAACTGAGTTCCAAAACATTTTCTTGTTATTCTTGCTGTATGCAACCTTACATTATCATGGAGGAAAACAACATTTTTCCTTATAACAAGTGCAGGGTACTTCTTTATGGAAATATTGTAACTGTTGGATGTATAAATGTACATTGTGTTTCACTGCATTTTAAAAGCTATAAATGAATAATATCCAAATGATTATTCCCCCCCTACACACAAAGTTTAGCTTCATTTGTAGAGATTTATCCTTGTCAGTCCACTGCCTTTTTGTGTTGAACACTGTCATATGTAAGTCATTTTTCATCACCTGTTATGTTATATTTAAGGAATTAATTATTTCTCTTGTGAAAGACTTCTTATAGATAAATGAATTCCTTTTGCTAAGAGCATGTAGAACTGACTGGAAGCTGATTTTCCCTAGTGTTAGCATATGGTAGATTGTGAAGGGTTTTCTAGTTCCTGAGTATTTTGCTATGGATTGCTTTCCACTAATAAATTTAGAGCTTCATCATCAGAGTCCACTGAATGCTCTGATCTGGGTTCATCTTCCAATGACATTTCTCCAGTACAAAACTTTGCAAACCACTTATTTAGTCAGTTATGACCCCTAACCGTAAACACATTTTCTTCTAGATATCTCCATGGCATTATCCTTTTGCTTGAACTATCATAATATTATGTGATGTAAATGCACTTTCAGTCCCTCCATTAGTGGGGTTAAGAAATTTACTTTTCAATCCAGTGATTGTAGCTACTGCTGCCATCCCAGAAACGAAATACATTAGTGTACTCCAAATTTATTCTTAACTGTCATACATAAGTAGCTAGGAAGATACATTTATCATTACAATTGGCTCCCATATGTGTAAATTCCTTATTATACAATGTATAAAAACTGTGCGTGTGTGTGGAAATTTAGAAATGATAAAAATACATTGCAAATTATATTCCAAACCATTTATGCACATTTTATTATCAAAGATAAGATTTGTTAAATATAACATTCATTTCACCCACTCTAACAAATAAATATATAATATATATATATATATATATATATATATATATATATATATATATATATATATATATATATATATATATGACAAATACTAAAACCATATACAGAAATTCATTGGAAATTATTCTACTATAGGAATACAATCAAAATTATTTATTAGTCATTTATGTAATCAATCATAAGGACAGGACTCTGAAACATGATACATCAAAACATTTACTCTAAGGATTACATATATTAAAAAACAGGCTAAATACTAGAAGCATATATAAAACTTGCAAATTATTTTACTATAAAAATGCATTGCAAATTATTTACTAGTCATTGATGCAACCTGTCTTATCAAGAATAGGGTTAAGCAAATCGATCAAAACTTTTTCATTCTAATGATTAGATTTATAGTAACTTTACAAATGCTAAAAGCATATCTAGGCTAGGAACTATGCAGATGCCAAACATTTGTAAGGATGGTATTATATAAAGTACTACTAAAAAGGTTGGGGAATTTGAATAGATCAATCACTCAGTTCATCTATCAAGTACCAAGGATTTCCTGTATTTTACAAAATGTGTATTGCAGGCTTCTTGTCATTTGATTCCTTAACTCCAGAAACCTTTCACCATTTGTTTTTTTTAGGCTAACTGCCTATTTATTTTTGTTGTTTAATATTTTTTTTGCTTGCTTTCTCTAAGTACTTTTTGTTTACTTTGCTATATTTTTGAATTTGTCAAGTTCATAAAAAATATTAAGTCTCCTCCTTCTTCCAACAGCGATGGGATAAGTCAGCAAGTTGAAAATTACACACTGCAGTCTACCTGCGAGACTGCCTAATCTTGACCCAGACCTTCCAAGACATGGAAACACATCTGTCATTGACTTACTAACAGTCTTTTTCATCTGTTCCTGGAAAATTCCAATATTTTTTTTTTCTTTAAGAACAGTTGAATGTTTATTTCACTTGCTTGCAGGAAATACATGTTTTTACTGAAATCTTCCCTTTCTTTTATAAGGATACTTTGAAAAATCTTTTTTTCAGATATGATAGACAGTATTGACACTTTATTTATAGTTTAAGCTAATCTTAAATTTTTGTAGTCATCTTTGTACCAGAGGAGTTCCTGACTCCAACTAATCTAAGCTTTTTTCTAATCATTTTGTCCCAAGCAAGGTGATAAAGCCACTAAGAAACAAGAGGTTACCAAGTGTAAAAGAAACCAAGAAAATGTTTCCGAATAGAAAGGACAAAAAAAAAAAAAAAAAAAAAAGGTGACAATGGATGTTGTGTTTAAATTTATCTTGGCTGATAGGAAAGCAAGAAGCCAGAAGAGGGTGCCATAGGTGAGATGTACAAGAAGAAATGATTAGAATAAAACTTATTGTTACATCTTACAATTTCAACAGTAAAATAGTGTGACCTCACTGCCAATCAGTACTACACTTAAATTCATGAAGTTAGCAAAAATGAAAGCTCATCAGAATAATTGCTATGAAAATATTTATAGAAAAGGCTACGTTATGGCAGTGGATTGTAATTGAAGCTAAAATGCCAGGTTTAAATATGGTGTTAAATTTTTAATCAACTAGTATTTAGCCTAATTTCCTATTAATCAAATTTTCCCTATTAAATGCTAAAAAAAGTTTTTAATTAAAGCAAGCACTTCAATTTTTCAGAATTTCTGAAACAAGATGATAATTGTATTTTTTTTTTCTTTTAAGCATTACCGAGAAAAAAAATATTTAAGATATTTTTACTACAAAGATATCTAAAACCAAAAAAAGAAAACATCTAATAAAAAAAGATCTGTTCTTCTCTCATTACTCACAGTCAGGTCATTCTTGCAGCTCAGGGTGAACTGAACAATGAAAATGGTTTCTGAAGATGCTGTCATTTCTGGAGTTGTGTACACAAGAGGAGTTACAGTGGGTCCCAAGCAAGTATCACCTAGAAATTTAAACAAACAAAATCATTATGCATTCAACCAGCAAAGAAAGTAGTTACTTGTCTACAGATATATTGATATACATCATGGTTAACAATGGAAATAACTTTTTGTTTGGATACATAGTTATAAGAGAACTATTTGTTCAAATGTTCATTCACTCTTTTCTTGATCAATCATTGTGGCATGTCAGTGCCAAGATGTTTTGTTAGTATATCTAACACAAGAAAAAATAAAGGAATTTATACTTTTCCAAAGAGTCATATATGAAAAGAAAGCAAACCATTTCAGGTTAAATTCAGTCTTGGTTAGAAGAATTTATTTTCTGTTTTTACAACCATTTATAGTACTCAAACTCCATTGTCTCTTAATATCTAATAATCCAGGAAAAAAATTACAAGTTTTTATTTAATAAAATTATTATTAACTTGATATTTTAACAAATTATGTCACCCATCTTGAAATCACCAATCTGAACACACTATTTTACACATTAAAAAATCCTATAAAGATGTAAGTGGATGGAATAAACAACAAGATCACATTCAGAACTACTTTGCTTTTAACAGAACTTTAACTTGAGGAATTATTGTTCAAAGATTAGTTTACAATATTTGGTTACACTAATGTCCTTAACTTTATTATCATCAGAATGATTCGGCCATTGTGTGCTCTGGCCTTGAGATATCCGTTGATTCAGAAATTCAGAGAATTTTAAACTGAAGCCTTTCTTTAATCAATGGGCATAGATTGTTTTTGTCCTCAGTTATTGCTAAACCTATTTGCATTGAGTCTGTTCTACTTTGACCAGAGATTGAACAAAAAATACTTTACCACAAAATTCATAAACCAATGCTTTAACCTTTTAGGCTAGACAAAATATCCCTAGATATAGACAACAGAATGAGAAGCTTTGTCTATAGATTAAAGTGTTCAGTTTGAAGTTCCATAAAGGTTACCCAGATCAAAAGACACTTGAAGAAGATCATAGGGCATAATGGCTGAAACATTGTGATAATAACAAAGATGAGGATATTAGACTAAAAATAACTCCCTGTCCCAAAAATTCAGAAATAGCAACTAAATATGCATTATCAGTTCATATGAAGGACAAGAAATTCATATCCCTTGCATAAATTTAGAGTTGATGGCAATGCTTTTGTAGAAAATTTTGAAGAGTGGATGGAAGTGTGATAAAGTTTTCACCAAATTTAGTTTGAGCTCATAGTGCATAATGTTTCTGGAACTTTGAAGTGTTGGTGCCTACAGATTGTGTGATATCACAGTTTTTCCTAGTACATTGACTATAGCTGCTATTTCTGAAGTTTGCAGGTTGAGTTGTAGATATCAACTGCCCTCCTAGTAAGATAAAGTATTGTGTTTTAGACTAACTTGTTATAGGCTCTCAGTTTTCTGAAGGCCCTACTTTGTGGGTATTGCACATCAGGAGAATATATACTCTATTTCCAAGAGGTTAGGCACTTTCTAAAGAAATCATTTCTCAGGTGTTAGTTTATACATTAAAATATATACAATTATGTGGATACACACACACACACAAATGTGCAGATAGTTTAACAATTATTGGCATGGAAAGTGAAATTGCAGAGCAGAGTTCAAATTCCGGTTTAATCTGCTTTGTTAACCTTTAGCACTCTGCAGTATTAATTGATATTACTTCTCTTTCCACTTCATTCTTTTTCAAGGCCTCTTAGTTGCAGTATCCTTCTTGATAATTTCACTCAAAATCGTTTTCTGTTGCCATACCAGGATATGACTACACAACTATGAAATTCAAACACACTATTTTTCAGGGATCAAAGTCATCTTCAGTGGCAGGATAAACATTTTCTACAGTAAGTGAAGTCATATACAGAGTGATAAAGGTTAACTTTGCACTAATGTCTTTGGAAAAGGCATGAATCAATGTTCCTCCAGCTATGGATTAGGCAACAGGGCAAACTGAATTCCTGCTTTGGATGGCAGCCAGTCTAAGAGAAAGACTGAATTCAAACCTGTAGAGAGCTGTCTGGAGCCTCAATCTTATTCTTAACAAGTCAAGAGTCAACTGTTATTTTTCTGCCTTTTCACCATAATCTTCAATTTCAGCCATCTTTTAATCCATTCATCTCATACATGCATTCATTATTACCATTTATTTTTTACAAACACACACGAAGCCTCAACACTGTAATCATCCGTGTGTAGGTAGTTTAGTTCTAAAAATAAACAGCTGAACCCTGATATATCAAAATTGATTACCCGCACATCTATGTTCAGATGTGTTACGCATTATTACTGATGTCTTAATGTACACAAACTAAAAATTAATTATGTTGATTTTTCATTATGTTTCTTCTTACTCAACTATGGGTATTTCTGTCTTTAAAAATGATTAAGAATTGTGCAAGACAAACGTAAAATATAAAAATGATCTTTTTTGAATATCCTTTCTCAGTAATTAAAGTTGAGGAATGGAAACAAAAAAAAAAATACTCTCTTCTCTAAAAAAAAGCAATGAAGAAAAATACAATCTGTGTGTGTATGAAAACATTAAATCCATAAAATTTTATTTAACAAATGATATTAATTAAAATTAGTTCAGTGAAATCCTGGTTACTTAAAGTAAAAACTTAAGTCTTAGAATTTATAAGACTTGAAAATTTCCAGATTTTACACAAAATTTAGTCACAATTTTTCATCGAAAACGTAATTTAAATTAAATGAGCAAAGAAAAAGAGGTAAGCCTTTTTTTTCTTTTTTTTTTTTTTTACTAGTTTTAACTTTAAGATTTCAATCTGGTAAAAATGTTTTCAGTACTTTAGTACCTATAAAAAAAAAAAAATCACACCGATTACTTTTTTGTTGTTAAAAAATAAAAGTCAAAATTTAAATACATCAGTTTCCAATTTTATTGGAGGGCGACATTAAAAAAATAAATCGATCTAAAAAAATTTTACCATAAATTTTTACCTGACTTCATATTACAAATTTTAAATTAAAATTTTGATTACTTTTTTCAGTTTTTTTCTTTAATACATTACGTTACCGACAGAAAGAAATTATGATAAATTGTTTGCTTTATCCGAAATTGAAGATCAATTAAATAATTTGGACTTAGAAAATAAAAAATGAATGGGGAGGATAAATTCGTAATCTAGAGAAAGTGTGGGTAATTGATGGTGTGAATAAAAAATACAACTCCAAATTACGTATTTTAAAAATGCTGTTAATTTCTTTTTTTTAAAGAAATCATATAGTACTTAAAAACTGTATTAAAAAAACATTATTTTGTTTTCGTAGATCAATTTTTACTTTTTATCATTTTTACATGGGGAATGATTTTTTTTTTTTTACATAACAAACTGGAACCTCCATTAACTTTTACAACATTTCATTTAATAAACATTTACAAAATAATTATTATTTTACATATTCGTGACCTGGAGTACTTAATAGTAAGATAAAAAAAATAAAATTGGTTGCAGTGTCTATTATTAATTATTATTGTACAACTGCAGTAATTGTTTTGTTGTTGTTGTTTTACCCATCACTGAACACGTTTACTGTTTTTATTACGACAAATAATTTACATTTCGTTGATATCTTAGCTTTGATATTAAACTATTGTAAAGCATCTTTACTCTAAATTGTAGCCACTACACACTATAATTTAATTTACTGAATTTACATGTTTCCTTTTTCTTCTGTATTTTAAGAACAATATTGTTTTGCATAATGAATACCGTTATTTAGTATTTTCTACTTTAGTATTTATTTTTGATTCATTTTAATAAGATTATTCTGTTGCAAATTAACACATAAATCGTATTTGCTTTATGATTCTGGCTTAAAAAACGATTTAAACTTTTAAGACATAAAAAAATGTGAGCGACATACAATAGCTCAACTGCCACGTCAACATTTAAGAAATGCCAGCGGATACTTGAAAATTGCATGCAAAAAAGGAACAATTTTTCGATTGTATTTTACAGTAAAAAAATAAATGTAAGAAAAGAATAGGGTAGAGTAGTTTGTTTAAGTTACCTGCTGCTAAGAAAGGCAAAATCGTGACGAGACCCAAGATTGGGAGAGAGATCATCGCAAGCTTGTAGAAAGAAGCCATTTTTGAATAGAAAGGAAACGGAGACATACGAAAAGAATTTATATATGTTGCCAAGGGCAGATAACTCTTTCTTTTTTTATTGAAAAAAAAAAACCAAAAAACTCAGACAGGATTTGTCATCTCTCCTTTCGTTTAATAACAAATTCGGACATGATTTAAATATTAAGTGACCAATCAGAAGTTGAGATTTTCTGAAAATATGTTTGAGGCTGGGTTAGCTCTGTGATCCACTTTTTGCACAGATTTGTACAAAATTCAGCATTGACAAGAAAGTGGTAGCGGGATGCTAAACCTCTAAGAAAGATTGAGTTTGTGTGAAAGAAACTCACTAACGTTAGTACCAAAGTATGGTTAAGGAAATTTCAAGTTTTTGGTGTTATCCCTGGCAAAAGTAGTTGTGTTGCAGTTGAAAATATTTCATAGAATTTAATGACTGAATAATGTCGGTGAAAGGGCAAAGCAAAGATAGTCCTGGTCAAAGGAATAGAGTTTGTAGCAAAAACTCATGGACGATAATATCAATACAAAAAGATTTTTAAGTATTAGTCTTTAAAAAGGAACACTAAATCCATTTTTTGTATAATCTGGAGAATATGTGAGTCACTGAAGAAAGGATAGAACAAAGTTGGTTGATACAACGCAAAATAAATCACTTGAGTTGTGGACTGTGAATAAAATCCATAACAATGAATTCAAGATGTCTGCATGTTGATTGATGTTGACTTAGGCCAGAATTGTATGGTGGAAAATCAATCAGACATGCCAGAAGTGGCAAGGAGCAAAATAGAAGGTTAACATCATAGAAAACATTTGGTGCACATGGGCAAAAGTGTTGAAAAGTAAAACTGGCATGCACAGAAGTACATAAATGCTGTGTTTAACTGCCAAGTAAGATATTGAACATACCGGAAATGGCAAAAATACAAAATGGTAATGAGCCAGAAGCTACACCAGAATGTGGTGTGTTAAAAAATTACCAAAGCAATGTTAGTAACCCAACAAGCAATGGACCTGGGTTTGCTCTGCGGCCAAGCAGGATCATAATCAACCTATAACAGAAGCAGAAAGCAAAGTAAAGTTTAGAAAGAAAATTTCTAGTTGAGTAAGCTGGAAAAAAAAACATTTTTTCTGAGAAAATAGATGTGAAAAGGGATGGAGAAAGCAAAGCAAAAATAGGAAGGGATTGTCTTCCTCAATGCTTATTAAAATAGAAGTCATATGCTACTTCCTTGAGGCAGCTCCCGACAGAAAATTTCGTTCTGCAAAGAGAGACCAGGATTTACCATGACTCCCCACTGAGCCAGGTTGTGACACAAGGTTGGTTTTTAATGTGGGGACCCAAATGTTTCCATTCAGGCTGCTGATTTAAGCTGGTCATAGCTTCTCTAAGCTAGTTATAGCCAGTCATACCACCGCTATAGAACAGATTTTATGCATCGGGGGTGGAGGACAATGCAAGGGAGTAGAGAAGGTCTCCAACACGGAAAAGATCCTACAACTGCTGCATCTACTCTGACGGGGAAAAAACATTCTCCTCCTCTGCCAATTCTTCCAGAAGAATCTTAGAGGGGGGGGAGTCTGAGATTTATCTTAAAATTGAGGCAGGTTGTGACACAAGGTCAGTTTTTAATGTAGGGACACGAGTGTTTCCACTTGGGTCATCGGTCTAAGCTGATCTTATCTTGTCTAAGCTGGTCATACCACCACTACGGAACAGATGTTTTGCAATGGGGTGGGATGGCAAGGAAGTAGAGAAGGCCTCTGGTACAGAAGAGATACTACCACTGCAACATCTACTCCAACAGGAAAACACCCCTTTTCCTCTGCCTTCTCCTTCTAGAAGAATCTGTGGGTAGAGCTTGAGATTTACCTTAACCCCTCCACTGAGTCATGTTGTGAAACAAGGTCAGTTTTTAATGTGGGGACCCGAGTGTTTCCACTCGGGCCACTGGTCTAAGCTGGTCTTAGATTGTCTAAGCTGGTGAGAGCTTGTCTAAGCTAGTCATAGCCAGTCATACCACAACTACTCAACAGATGTTACGCAACAGTGGGGAATGCAACGGAAAAGAGAAGGCCTCCGGCACAGAACAGACACTACAACCACAACATTTACTCTGATGAGAAAAAAACCTCCTTCTCCTCCTCTGCCAATCCTTCTGGAAGATTTGAGGGGGGGGCAAGATTTACTTTAATCCTCCCACTGAGTCAGGTCATGACACAAGATTGGTTTTTAACATGGGGACCCGAGTGCAGCTGGTCTAACCTTGTCTAAGTCGGTCATACCACCGCTATGGAAAAGATGTTACACAACAGGTGTGGGGACACAAGGGTGGAGAGAAGGTCTCCGAAACAAAACATCTACTCAGATGGGAAAAGCACAATGACATAACCCCGAGATGGAAGCAGAAATGCATGCCCACAAACAACTCCAATAACAAGGCAACCCTGTTGTCTGCAAAATCTACATGAGAGGCCTCACATGTTTCAAGGGCCAAAATTGCTTTTACTTCCACCCACCTCATGCTCAAGCACACATTGTGATCGTATCTGCAAACACGCCTACATCCTGATTTAATAGACATAAACCAACTTCACGAAATGGATTTTTGGTTGAGACCAGGATATCAACAAACGCTATCACCTCTTCAACTTCCAGCATCCACACTCATGCCAATCTCCTTTCACAAAAAATATATATCACTATCGGTGACTTCACTTTCTCTGAGACAGGCATGCTTGACTCACGGTCACCACAACTCCAAATTGCAAACAGTTACGGCAAAACTAGTTGGGTCCATCACACTCACATATGTCGTCTTGTACATCGGCCTGGCCACCTTATTTATGTGAACTTGCCCCCTCCACCACAGACTCTCCAAGCAATGCCTGACTCAGCACCTCATCCTTCCTTTGACAACCATGTAAAGAACACGAACTACTGATTTAGCAATTTCATGCATTCCAAATCTTCCAAAGAAGAAATCTCAAAAGACAAACATGTGGTCAGCTACCGAAACATTTTAAAAATTTCATTATGCACAAAAAAAAGAGCATCACCACACCATATATAAAACACACCAACCCATCCATGAATCAGAATAAGATCTAGAGAAGCTGTGACATTCTTCCTAAAAACCAGATGTTCTAATTCATGCTACACTAATTTACATTACTGGCTGGATGTGGATGCTCCGAACACTCAAAACTGAACAAAGATTCCATCAACTGCACATAGGCTCTCCACATAACTTCCATTTTTACTCATACACTCAAAGAAAAAATAAGCAATACAATCCAGAATTTCCATGCAATAATGCCTACTCCCACCTAAAGGACATAAAAGCCCATCAAAGGGACATTTTCAGCAGTTAGATGGTATCTTGGCCCAGGTTCACAGATTCTGTCAGAAAGTGACTTCCCATCTCTAAGAGACAGCTCATCAAAGACCGTCACCCTAATAAGTCACAACTCATCCTACCTCTCCTTCTGTATGCTTCTGTTGACGCCTTTTACAACTCCACTTATCTCCTTTTTTTCAACAAGAGACATTTACACCAATCTATCATTTGTTTTATTTTACATTAATACAATCATTTATTTCTTTAACTTTTGTTGTTTCTTCTTTGTTCTGCTATCATACATTTAATACAACACAATTATCACTTGATAATTATGACAAAATCACATACATGGCCTAAAGAATCCCAACATTGGGACAGAGTACAGTACACATGGATCATGCCCATCTTAATGGAGTGGAATTATTATGTGGCAATATGATTTTTCTCACATCCTTAGGAGATAAGTAGATATTTTCTTTTTCCATTTAAGTTAATTTGTTTACCAGGGTTTCTTAGGAATTTCATCTCCAGTCCATCTTTGATTCAATTTAATGACAGTGTTTTCAGGGACCCTGTTTCTAGTCCGCCTTTGAATTGGCAAGCAAAAATAAAATTTTGTTAATGATTTTAGATAATCATAAAAGTTGATTCCTTTGAAAAACTGCCAGCCCATCCAGCTTTTGGGCGGTTTACTTTTCTGGAACACAAGTGGAGGGTGGGACCCAAGCCAATATCCATATCGGCAGAGAGAGGCAGGAAATCAGCAGTAAGTGACCAGCAACCAGTAAGGAAAGGACCAGTGGTGATTGAGTTAGCAGTCACCAATACCATGGGCAGTGAATGTAAGGGTCCTCTTTCTGTGGCCAGAAGTTAGTAAGATCGCGGTCCACCTTGACAAAGCTGAAAGAAGACATAGACAGCTAAGTGAGGAATTGTATTGTTGCTATTTTCCAACCAGTGCCTTGAAAAGCATTTGTCATTATTCTTTGTTGAATTTGATCACAGCCAAGGAGACAAACCTGTGAACATAGCTAGCTGGGTGTATACGCACACACGAGTGACCTTGGATGTCATCACAGGTTGTGCAGTGATTATGTGTAGAGTATGACACCACGATTACTAATACTGGTAGATTCAAATTCAGGCTGGCCAGAAATAATACAAATCTCCAACAAAAGAAGCTTGACTGGGAAACAAGCATTAAGGATCATATTTTCAAGAAAATATGGAATTCTGAAAATGTTAGTATCTGACAATGCCCCAGAGTTCTGTAACAAGAAACTATGCCAATGGTTGAACAAAACTGGATGCAAACCATATTAACCCCCACATCCAATCTGCAATCAAACAGATTAGCAGAAATGGAAAATACTTATTGGAACTGAAATGAAAGGCACAAATATGGGTTTCTGATTGCTTGAAATGTAGAAAGTACAAAATAACAGACCAATCAAATTTTCAACACCAATTCTATTTTGGTGATGAAAAATCTTGAAAATTTTGGTGGATGCACAGACTTGTGAGCAGGATTTCATTTACAGCTACCAACAACTTCAAAGGAACTGTCTTTGATCATCTATCCCATTTCAACTGACCAAAACCTCAGCAAAGTTCAACAAACTCCTCTCTTACACTGTGTATGTAAATCTCCACTGTGTGTGTCTGTATATGTAAATTCTCTCTCTCTCTCTCTCTCTTTGCACACACTTATATACAGACTTAGTTAAACTCAAACATCTGAAATGAACTTTCATTTAACAGAAAGTTTTCCTTTATCATCCAAATTTAAAATTGCACCAATTTAATTTCCTTTTTTATTCATCAATAGTTTTGTATGAACCATAAATATTTAAATTATTTTTATTGTTATTCTCTTTATCCATGTCTGTATTATATTGGCTTATTTTGAAATGGTAAAAAAAAAATACCAAAATTTCTTAGTGGACTCTAGGTTAATTTAAATGGGTCTCTGAATAAATATAAAATGCTGACTTCCTCTACAAAAGAAATACAGAAATATCATAGTCTTATTTTTTGAGTATAAGAGAGAAAGATGAATTTGCAGGACTTATCGTTTTGTTTTTGTCATTTTTAGAAAGAAAATCTAAAAATCATTCATTACAGTTTATAAAATATATGAAATAAGATAATCTATACAAAAACAAGAATAACAACAATAATTATTATTAATACATTATCAACAACAAAAAAAAAAAAAAAAAATAACCGGTTGATAGTTATAACCGGAATTAGATTTTGATAGCAACTGTTTTACTCTTCACCGGAAATAGCCATGTGTTTGCTTAGCGAAATGGTTGGTTTTTACATATAAAAGGTAAAAGATCACCATTTACTACGTTTATTGATAAATATCTCGTAAGTCTTATTTTAAAACATACGATGTTTTATAGGTTGTTTAACAAAAAAAAAAAAAAAAAACATGATTTGCAAGAAAACCTAGGTTATTTTCTACCCGTAATGGTCATCATAAATTTTTGTTTCTTAAACTTAAATCTTTTACGTTGTTGAAGGTTTTTTTTTTTTTTTTTACCGAAAACTTTTAATAACGAATATTGTGTAGCGGATACTAACTGGTAGAGCATAAGGAGAACTGACTTTCATTCCTTTTTTAAACTTTTATTCCATCATATTCCATCTAGGATTCTACAATTGAATTTAAAATTTAAAACTAAGGTTTCAATTCCCAGTTAGAGTGTGTTTCGGCATGAAGTCCCAAGGACAATCACTGGTGGTTGTTGGTCTCTAGTCTACTCTCAACCTAACTTCACCTTGGTCGTGGGCAATTTTAGGATGTTCTAGGGTATGATTTTACTTACTACCTTATCCCCAATTTATATGATCCCGACTTTTATTTGGCATTCGAGAGTACGACCTTGAAGACGAGTGACTAAAATTTTGTTTTTGAAACACTCCTGATAACTAAAATTCGAATAATAATCAATATATGGTTGATCAAGAAGATGTATCTTTGAAGCTTGAACTGCTGAAAATTATTCAGTTAAAAAATACGCTTCAGTACTATGTTTATTTAAACTTTGAAAAAAGCCATTAATTTTGTTTTTATTTCAAATGTCAGCATGCTGAACACTGATTTACCTCCCCTGCATTCACTTTATTCTTTTTATTTTTTTTTTGAATGAGTGCTCATATTCTGAGCACTCATTGTTCTTTAAATTTGAAAAGTTATGCATACGAAATAGCGCCCGAAATATATATAATTAAATAAATTATATATTGCATTATGTAAGTAATACAATTATTTTTCTTAAGTACTGAACAGTAAACTGTTATATAATAATAATATCAGTCCTCCTATGGTAGTAAATGCTAGACAATTTCCTAACAGATGAGGAAGAGACTTGAAACAGCAGAAATACGCCTTCTTCAAGTGATTGGAATTTCGAACTGAACACTTTATTTCATTCACCAGGATAGATTGCTCTAGTTCCACGTACCATATCTCTTCCGGATGTCTCAGTTATTTCCCTTTAACTCAACTCTCCAAGTTTTTTGGTTCAACACTGATGTAGCCTGGTATTGAATTCACGGCATGTATGCTAGGCCACAAAAATCTCCTGAGTCAATCAAGCATAGAATTGAATACAATATGGGAACTAATATTAAGGAGTGTTAGAGAAAAGCCATGGATAACAACAAAAATTGCAATATAAGCTTTGGTAAAAAATGCAATAATAATAACAAAAAAATTGCAATATGAGCACTGGTAAAAATGAGGGCTGAGAAATTAGGTCTATAAGTCCCAGAAATTCACACACAGATGTCCTCAAAGACACATGGATAAAGATGTTGGTTAGATACAGTGACAAGCCTCAAAGAGTTGTGAGTTCAATATCAGCAGTGGTGAACCAAAACTTGGAAAGTTGAGTTAAAGGAAATAACTGAGACATCCAGAAGAGGCATGGCATGTGGAACTAAAACTAAAACAATCTACCCCAGTGGATGAAATAAAGGGTTCAGTTTGAAATTCTAATCACCCGAAGAAGGCCAGAGAATTGTGAATATGGCTATGAAGATGAGGATAACAGTCCGAATAATGTAAATAATACAAGTAATCATAATACCTCATCTCAGAGATATAGACAAAAAAATTCATGTTGAGTTTGTTACATTCACTTACACGTAAATATTCCCTGTAAAGGTATGAATCCATTTCTTCTCTCCCCAGCTATAGGTTAAATAGCAGGACAGACTGGGTCTTATAGCCTTGGATGGCAGCCAGTCTACCACAGAAAGTAACAACAGCCTTTTGCAGGAATTCTTCTGCCAAGTCAATGGTAATTTGAAATAAGACATGATTGTCTAAGTGTGCATCATGCATGGCATCTAAGGAAGGAAGTATGAAATGGATTACTCAGTGAACACTGCACTCACTGCAGTAGTAATCTCCTGTTGGGTTTTTCTTTTTGAATAGAAAAGCTGAAATACAAAAACGGTTATCACTATAATGGTAGATGTTTGTAAAATTATAATTTTTCAGCAAATATCAAAGAAGTAGTTTGTAAATGGAAAAAAAATATCCCAGGCACTGTCTGCTATCAACATGGCTGATGCTAAACTTCAAGAGAGCAACACTTTGCGACTTCTTGGGCTCACATTTTCCACTGACATGAAGTGGAATGACTATATTGAATTAATTGCTTGGTTGACTGCTAGGAAATATGGTTCATTGTGTCTTGCCAAACAATTCTTCTCATCTGAATTCCTCTTGTACATTTATAAATCTATCATTTGTCCATGCTTTGAATATTGCTGGTCTGCTGGTCCTAGTATATATCTTGAGATTCTTGACAAAATTCAAAGAATAGTCTGTAATGTAATTGATCCTGACCTGGAACCTTGACATCAGTCACTTTCTCACCAACATGATGAGGTTTCCCTCTGTCTTTTCTACAAATATTTTTGTGGTAATTGTTCTGATAAGCTTTTCCTCTTGGTACCTCAACTGCATAAATTTAAGTGTGATAATTCTCACTGTTTTACAGTTGAACTAGCGAGATGTATTTTCTATTATAATAGTTTCTTTTCTCACACTTCTTACCTGTGGAACTCCCTTCAGATTTTTTCTTCCCCGTCACCTACAATGTTCAAAAATTTAAATGTAATGCCAATTGTCATCTTTTGTCATTCTGAAACCTGTTCTTTTATTGTGCTTTCTCCTCACTAAAGTCTTCTCTTTGTCTTTCACTCCCAGTAACCCCTTTCATCTTAGTGGCATTATCACCTTGCTCAGGGTAAAAAAATTTTAAAAAATTATTCTTTTGTATAATGAATATATCTTAAATTTTTATTGGGAAAATGTGATTTTTTAAAAAACTTATTTTAGTTGAGCATTCTAAGTGGCATATGCTTTATTTATTGATTAAGGTTTTTATTCCAGTACAATGCAAGAAAGAGCAACACTTTGCAAATTCTTGGGCTCACATTTTCCCCTGACATGAAGTGGAATGACTATATTGAATCAATTGCTTGGTTGACTTCTAGGAAATATAGTTCACTGTGTCTTGCTAAACAATTCTTCTCCTCAGAATCCCTCTTTCATATTTATAAATCTACCATTCATCTGTGTATTGAATATTGCTGGTCTGGTGATCCTACTATATATCTCGAGATTCTTGACAAAATTCAAAGAAAGATTTGCAAAATAATAAATCCTGACCTGGTATCTTCAGTTACTTTCCCACTGACATGACGTGGCTTTTCTACAAATATTTTCATGACAATTGTTCTGATGAGCTATTCTCCTTAGTGACTCGACTGCATGAATTTAAGTATACTACTAGATTGGCAATTAGGTCTCACTGTTTTACTGCTGAACTAGCTAGATGCAACTGCCACTTCTATTCTAATAGTTTCCTTTCTTGCACTTTTCACTGGTGAAACTCCTGATTTCTTTCTTCTCTGCCACCTATAATCTTCAGAAGTTTAAATACAATGTCAATTGCCATCTTCTGTCTTCCTGAATCCTGTTCCTTTATTGTCCTTTTCTTTACTTCTCTTCACTAAAGTCTTCTCATTCTTTTTCACTCCCTGTCAACCCCTGCAGCCTAATGGCATTATAGCCTTGCTGGTGGTGAAATGATTAACAAAAATGTGTCATATTTAATTCATCAGTTAATATATTGACACATTGACTCCCAAGCCTCATTTTCCTTGTTGTCCCAGGCTCCCAGTGCTATATCTTAAATCCTGTTATAGCAAAATGAGGAAGACAATGAGTACAAAGGAAGCTGATAAAAAAAATTAAAAATCAAATACATTTTGTGCTGAATATGTTATAATCCTTCTTATGGCTTCAGTGTTTCAATAAGAGACATAAAATAATCAACAAGTCAATTTTTTCATCATCGTGTAGGAATATCTGCTTTTATATTTTTTTTTTTTATATCATTTCAAAAAATCAGGCATTAGGAATATGATTTTTTTTTAATTTATTTTTTTTAGGAATGTGATTTCTATTAGATTAGAATTCTTGTGTTTATTTTACTCATTGTAGGCATTATTTTGGTTTCCTAAGTAAATAAAGTATACTTTTTTTTTAATTTCATAATGTTTAGCCAATTAAATTTTCTGTTTACTCAATCTTTTAGTTTACCTGAATGCAAGGTATGGCTTTCTGTCTGTAAAAATAATAAAAAAAAAATACTCCCAAAAACAACAATATAAATTTGTGAAAAAAATGGGGTTTTGGTGTACCATGATCTCCTAAGCACTCAATCATAGCACCCCACTAGTGCCCATAGAAAAGAAATTGGAAAACAACCTGCTGGAGGGTCCTGTGGGCCTTGCAAACATACCACCATGACACTCCAGTGGGTTGTGTGGTAGCCAACGTGTTAAGACACTTTTTAATCGACAGTCTATCTTTTACACACTGTCAGCACAATCTATAAATATCATTTTAAGTTTGTAAAAGAAACAAAGACATTTATTTTCTCTCTGAATTTTTAGGACAAAGAGTTATAATTATTTACAATCGGACTAACATCATGATCTTTGTTGTTATTTTCAACCATTTCAGCTCTCCAGCCATTTTCAGGTGTCTATCAACCCCAGTAGCCTTCAGGGATTTTCACACTAAACTCTTCATTTAATCTACAGAATCAGATTGTTCTTGTCTCACTGTCCATATCTAGGCATACTTCATCTAGATCTTTTTTATTTATTACTTTTATTTAGTATTGGTCAATTATTGCCCACCCTTTATCCAGTAAGTCTAGGTCTGTACTACCTGGCCCAGGAATTAAACTCACTATTACTATGTATCTAAATTCAAGAGCCAACACTTTAAACTACTAGTCCCATTGGATGACAAAAATGTTGTAATAATAACAGCAAAATGAGGATATTCATCTGAATGTAAACATTTATGTCTATCATTTATTGGCAATGCATTATATATACATTGATAACTTCATGAAATACATCTGTTTGATATTTTGGCACACATAATCAGTGATGTTTCTAGCTGAGGTTCATTAGGGGTTTCAGGTCTTTCAACATCCTACCCCGTCTCCATGGTGACCCAGCCGACACTGATCAGGTATCGACTTGTGTGCCATTCGTCAGCTGCAATTTTCCTCATTTTTAATCACACAATTTGACTCCTCTTGGCAATTTATAGTCCAATTATAAATAAGTTCCAGTTCACCAGCAATCTACACTCTTCCATAAAAAAGGAAGCAAATGCAGTAATGGTTTAGATCTGGTAAGGAACATGGTGACATGCTCAGCATAAAGTGGTAATGACACATTACATTTACATTAAAAATTAATATAAAATTGTCTGCCAGTATATCTGTGCATATGTGTTTTATATTTGTATAGCTTATATTTGTATAACTCTCTTTCTTTTTCTTTTTTCAATTTAGGCTGAATTTTTCTTTCTTTCATTTTTATTTTTTCATCCATTCTTTGAAATTATCAATATTTCTCTTTTCTTTTCAAATTTTTCTGTTTCTTTTTCCCTCATTTTTGTATTTATTTGACACTGATTATCCAAAAATATTTTTTAAATACTGTTTTATTAAAAAATAAATTTTCTCTATGTGTAATGTTTTATGATCTAAAGTTTGACTTTCTGGACCAGATGCAAAAAATGTTATGAAAATCTTAATAAACATTTTATCTTTTATCTTCTTAGGTTTACCATGATGTCTTTAAGGGCGTTACTGAACGCCATTCAAATTTGTCAGAAACAAAGAACATTACAATCGACCTTCCCAAGTCTTAATAGATCTTGGTTTCGTCCACTGTCATTGTCTGCCTTTCAATGTAGCAACAAAGAAGAATCTCCTACCAGAGTAGAAAATGAAGAATTCTCACCAGAAAATAAAAGACAAAACCCAAAGGAAAATTATGATTACTATAAGAAAATTATACACATGTTCAGTGAACTAGATAATACAGACATTAAATTAAAATCAAGTAAGATGATTGAAAACGATTGTCATTCCTCTTCGGTAATCAGTTCCTTACCTGATGCAGTTAAAGACAATCTTATGGAATTTCCAATAAAGGACCATGACCTGAAAACAGAAACCTGGCACACAAATCCTGACAATGGTAAATCTAAAAGTCCTGACTGCAATCTGTCTGAGAATGCCAACACTGTACAAACAGCCATTTCAGATGGTTCTAAAGAAATTTCCAGACCTTTTCTGGAATGGGATAAAATGTCTATCAACAAAGATACTTCAGATGTTATACTGCCTTCAGAATCTACTGACTCGCTACTAGAGATGAGTCGACGGCGATATACTGAAATAGCGACATCATATAATTTAGCAGTTTATATTAATGAATCTGAGACCTTAAAGCAGTTGCTCAGTCTAGGTGTGGATCTGTCAGTTATTGAGAAGGTTAGAGGAGCAGCTAATCTTATCATCAAACTCGACTTTGAGACGGATGTCAAGCCTTACTTGTTGTTCTTGAAAGACACTGGCATCCCTGACAATGCACTTGCTAAGATCATCACAAAAAATCCCTTGATTTTCAATGTATGTATCATTTTCATTTTCAATGTATGTATCATTTTCATTTTTAACAACTTCACAAATAGCATAAAGTATTTGTTTTTCTATTACTTTTACTGAATCTATATAGTGCCACATGAAATTGTGACAAGAAAAACAAAATACTATTTTATGATGAATCCTGTACAGTACCCTGTTGATCTACTACTTGGGTGCCTTAACATGGGGTAATGGCTGGCAAGGATAGCCTAGATGAACATTACTAGTGAGTAGTGAGTTTGAACCTCACTGTGTGCCCAACACAAAATTTGGCATTAAATAACCCAACATTGGTTGAAATATTATAAAATCAATTAACCAACAATTTGTGTTGAGTTAGCAAGATGCGTATAGTTGATCATTCCTACTGAATAGAGTTTGATTCTCACTAGGTGCCCCCTAAAGAATTTAGCATTAAATAACTCAACATGGGTTGAAATATTGTAAAATCAATTAACCAACAATTCGTGTTGAATTAGCAAGATGTGTATAGTTGATCATTCCTACTGAATAGAGTTTGATTCTCACTAGGTGCCCCCTAAAGAATTTAGCATTAAATAACTCAACATTGGTTGAAATATTGTAAAATCAATTAACCAACAATTGGTGTTGGGTAAAGGCTATCAAGGTGAGTCTGGTTGACTATTACTACTGAGTAGTGAGTTTGATCCTTACTGGGTGCCACATACAGTAAGTTGAGGCACATGGTCAGTCACAATACCTAGGTAGGCTTTGGTAGTTAAATGATCTTTTAGTAGTAGCAAGGGTCTTAATGTATGCCAAGAAAATATTCTCCGTACCATTACATCATCACCAGCAGTTTGAACCACTGATGCAAAGCAAGATGGATTCATACTATAACCCCTTTTACTGTCTTCTACACCCAGTGGTGTAACCACATTTAGTGGTTGGGTCCTCAGGGTCTTAGGATAATGTTTTAACCACAGGGCTAACTCTATGCTAGTCAATGCTGATGCTGGTCTAAGCTAGTTGTTGGTGGCTGGCCACTTTGATCCACACCAAATCTGCCCATGTTCTTGATCTCAGACCAGCAGAAGATTGAATATTGTAATAATTGCAACACTGGTTCGAGCTGTGGTAGGTGATACATTAAGGGAAGAAATATCTTCACAACAAAAAATAAAAACAAAAGATTCATTGGGTCAATCTTCAATTGATTCATATAGTTCTTCGTACAACAAAAATTAACTTTCCCCACATTAATCTCCATAGTGACACTGTCTCTCACCTAATAATTGAGGGTTCAAAGTTCTTCAGAATCAGGAGATCTGATGTGGATTCCAGAAGCACTCGAAGTCTGAGCTTTCAAAGTTATCTGCTCATATTCACTTCAGCCCAAAACTGGTGTGAGACTGAAGGGTCCTGGGGATTCATTGATTCTTCAATTTTCACATTAATCCCAATAAGGGTTCTTCATTCCCTATTTCTTCGGGGCCTATATCTCTCTAGCGAAGATATAAACCAGATCACTAGTTCATTAACGACAGGATCTATCTTCATAATTTGACCCTCAAAAAAGGTTCGTTCTTTGTTTAAATTTCCCAATTCGTTTTTGTCAATGAAAATATAAGCCCTATCTGTCTCTCTTCTTGTTAATGATATGTGTTTTCTTAATTCCTCAAGGAAAAAATAAAATTATTTCTCCAAAACTGTTTTTGTCCGTATGCTAGACTCTTGATAGATAAAAAAAAAAAAAAGAAAATAGGAGAGAAGAAATCCAGACAGTCTCATTTCTACTAAGGAAAATGTCTCCACCCTCTCTCTTTCTCTCTCTAACTTCCAGCTTACATTCCATTTTAGGCTTAACCTAAGATTTACCTTAACTGCCCCATCCCCCACTGAGTCAGGTTGGTTTTTAATGTGGGAACAGAGTGTTTCCACTCAAGCTGCTGGTATAGCTTGCCATACCACCACTACGGAACAGACGTTATGCAACACAGTGGGGAGAATGCAAGGGAGGAGAGAAGGCCTCCAGCACAAAACAGATACTACAACTGCAGCATCTACTCCAACGGGAAAAAAAACCTTCTCCCCCTCTGCAAATCCTTCCAGAAGAATCAGGGTGGAAGGGAGCTCTCATTTTAGGCTTAACCCTTTGCTGCCTATAATTAACATTTAACCACTTCATGACCTACTTTCATGTTGTTTATGCCAAATTCTGGCCCCTACCATCCAAATGTCACAGCAGAAATTGAGACTCATCAGAGCAGGCAACATTTCTCCAATTTTCTATTGTCCAGTCTTTGTTATTTTGATTGAATTGTAGCCTATTTTTTATTCTTATTTGACAGGAGTGGCACCTGATATGGTTTTCTGCTCTTGTAGCTCATCTGCTTCAAGGTTCAACATGTTGTGCATTAAAAAAAAAGTGGTTATTTTGAGCTTTTCTATGAGGTTGAACCTGTTGGGCCATTCTCCTCCATCCTCTTTCATCAACAAGCATTTGACGCCCATTGAATTTCCAGTCACTGGAATCTTCAGTTTTTCTTTTAACCATTCTCTGTAAACCCTAGAGATAGTTGTACATGAAAATTAGTTTTTTGAATATTCAAACCTGCTCATTTGGCCCCCAATGGCCATACCACATTCAAAGCCTCTTAAATCACCTTTCTTTTTCATGCTAATAGTATTTATCAGGGTGCCCACAATGCAACAGTCAAGGATTAAAACAGGTTTAACAGCATTACCATGCAAAAATTCCCAAGCACTTCCTCTTTTGAGGACACCAGGCAATAAACCCAGCCCCCTCCCATGGGAGAGGTACTGTCTGGGGTGGGGAGAACCCCCCCTGGTGCTTGGGTCAAAAATATAAATCCCAGCCAAAGGGAAATGGATTTAACCCTTTCCTGTACTAATGCTTGAAATAAAATTCAGCCGGTTGCTACAAATGTTTGAATGTCTGAAATTGCATTAATCCATGCATGTAATTGTTTGAATTCATGAAATTGCTGTCATGTCATTAACTGATTAGAAATTTGCATAAAAGAGCATTTGTAAGTGTGTACTAAATTAAGTGGCCATTGAGTATATAACATTACAATATGTCTACCTAAAATGGTATAATTTATGTTATTTCTTTCAAATAGGTTGATACCCAAAATATTATAAATAGTAGCAATGATCACAAACAGAAATTTTAAAGAGCATGGTAATAATTTAACCTTTAACACACTGCATTATTAATAATACTTCCCTTTCCACTGCATTCTTTTTCAAGGACTCTCAATTGCAGTATCCGTATTGTTAATTTCACTCAAAGGTGTTTTCTGTTGCCATAGCAGGATATGACAACACATCTATGAAATTCAAATTCAGAGATCAGAGTCATCTTCAGTGGCAGGATAAACATTTTGTCAGATACAGTGTGATAAAGGTTAAATATTTTAATTTTGGATGACCATGTATGACAAGACCTGATATTATTTTACCAATGATAAAAATATATTTCAGTGGCCATATTAGAGGCACCATTTTAGTGCTTATATATTCACATTAATTTCAAGATTTGTTTTCATTAGAAAAATGAATATCAGAGTTTCTAATTATTTTTAGTCATTTTGTTTTCCTTTTTTGAATGACAGGTCAGTATTGATGACCTACAGGTCGTCATTGATTATTTCAAATCCAAAAATTTCTCAGAGGCAGACATCCCACAAATTGTGATCAGAGCACCACGTTTATTTTTAATGCCTGTTTCAAGAATTGATGGAAAGCTTGGATTTTATCAGAAATTCTTCCAGCTCAGTGGTAAGCATTTTTATTTCCCCCCCACACACACACACACTTTCAACCAAAGACAATATTCCTGTTTTTTCACCTTTTGGAGAATTTGTCCCCACCAAAAGCTCATGTTCGCAATTTTAAAGTATGGAAGCCAAAAAAGGAAAAAAAAAAAATTAATATTTAAAAAATCATTTTCTTTTTCTTAGTAATTAGAAACTAAATTTGTGATGCTAGCTTGAGCCCAGATTTTAACAGTATTTAATTTGATCTTGGAGAATCAAAATATTTCTATCTTTGTCCCAAATGGTCAATCCTGTTTATCTTTTTAGTTGGGTTCAAGATAAATCACACTGTCAAGTTTTTGTCTTTGCTCAAAGATTCAACAAATGCCATCTGAAATAAGAAAAAAAATTAGCAATATATTGCATAGCAAAAACCATACTTGAAGATTACCAACTGCAGCATAAAAAAAAATGGACAACATATGTGTATGTAGAAGAGAAAGTAATCATATAATCAAACTATTAACTTTCCACACTACCAAAAGGAAAAGGCTTGAAAGGAAACTGCCCTTTATCAAAAGAACAATAACAGTGGGCTTCAGAATTTCCAGAAAAATTGTTTTAATAAAAAAGATTTTATAAATTTAAACAGCAACACTAACTATTCAGTTTATGAATACCAGATATTTCCCCATATAAAAACAACTAATTTTACCATGAATCTTTTTGTAGTTGTTAGTTCAACCAGACAAAAAAATTTGATAACCAGTGAGAATTAATAAGTTTATTTTGTTAGTTACCACATTGTTTTCATTATATAGTGACCATCCCACAAAAAAAGGATTTAAAATTTTTTTTTTTTTTTTTTAAGTTTTCTATACATTAGCTTTTGGTAGGGACTAAGAAAAATGACTCAAACCTTTTAGTAGCTAACATAGTAAATATATAAATCTTAATTAGTGCTGTTCAATTAATACATTCTTGCAAAAAAAACAAAAACAAAAGAATCTGTAATGTTATTGTCCCTGACCTAACATCTTTTTTGAGTAAACGCTCTGTTTTTTATTTAAACAGTATTAATTACAATTACCGACCAGAATGCATATTTTCTATGAAATTTCTTGAACATTCAGGCCGGTAAATGTAATTAATACTGTTTAATTAAAAAACAGAGCATTTCTCAAATATTGTATCCATAAAAAATGTATAAACAGAAAATATATTAAAATATTTGTCAGATTTAATATATATATATATATATATATATATATATATATATATATATATTTTCTGTTTATACATTATTTTTATAGATACAAATATTTAAGTAAATGCTCTGTTTATAATAAACAGTATTAACAACATTTACCAGCCTGAATGTCCAAGAAACCTCATAGAAAATATGTGTCCTCCAACAGGAATCAAACCTGTATCCTACATGGAAGTGTCATATAGCCTGACATGCTATACCATTTACCTGCAGAGGAAGCATCTGGTTAGCAAGGTTCAATTACTGTTTTTAAACTACAAATTTTCCATGATTTTCTTCATGTCAGAGGATACATATTTTCTATGAGATTTCTTGGTCATTCAGGTTGGTAAATGTTGTTAATACTGTTTATTAAAAATAGACCATTTAATTAAATATTTGTATTTATAAAAATAATGTATAAACAGAAAATATATTAAAATTGTCAGACTTAGTCCATTTCATTATATATATATATATATATATATATATATATACACACACAGTAGATTCAAGTTAATTTAGACAAAACAGAAATAGAGCAGTTATCCAACTGATTGGCTACCATTTTTCTGCAAAGTAACATATAAACAATGTCAATATGTTTACTTTTAGTGTAAAGTATCTGGATCACTTTTAACATCTGCTCTCCTAGAGTGCCATTTGAAAAGTGTCCACCCAAAAATTCTAAGTGGGAGAAATGCTTGACCTTATTGACAATTTCAAGAAATTATTATTTCCTCCTATGAATACAAACATTTTTAAATGTATTATCAACAAATCAGGGCTGGCTTTTTTTTTGGTTTTCTCCTTCATACCAGGTCGAACAGAGTGCTTCATCACACAGTTTTATATTTTAATAACTTTTTTTATATTTTTTAAACCAGTGAATATCTAGTTGTTGAAGCTTGGACAAGCATGGAATAATAATAATACAACACAAAATGTACGTAAACAAAATGTATTGAAACAAGGAAAAGGTACACAATATTTACAGTTAGTTTGGTATATTCTTGGGAAGACTGTTCCTGTAGAATGGGTTGACTTAATCGCAGTCGGGCAGAGTCTCTGGATTGGATCTCTTCTTACTTCTTCCCCGTCTTCCCGGTACCAACCCATATTTATATGGTCAGTACTCCACTATGTAAATTAGGTGGATCGTACCACAACACTAGTAAAATATCCTCTACAAGCTGAAGAAAAATGAATGACAGCCTGGAACGTTTTGTTAGTCACGGATTATCTCCCCTTAGTTTTAACAATTCACCCTGTAAATCAATCTAGAAGGAAGATTAGTGAAGTGATTGAAGGATCAGCAAACATAAATATATATATATGGTAAATAATAAAGATTTCTTAAAGTTAGTTCACATATTTTAATAATTTAGTAAATGCTTGTAAATTTATGAATAAAAAAATTGTTTTCATATTTATTTCTTTATAAATTGGTAAATGTTAATACTTAATATTTACCAATTTATAAATAAATAAATATGAAAACAATCTTTTTATTCATAAATCTTTATTATTTACCATTTTATAAAATTTGAATCAATTGGAAATTAGCTGTTGTTTTGCCAACCATTTCAATAAACAATATAATAAATAAATATTGTAAATAAATAAGCTGATAAATAAATAGTATTATTTTTGTTGTCATTCTCAAGATTAAAGAAAATGTATAAATTCTCTTTAGGTTTTATTACAATTTTAATTATTGCTTTTTAAAACAATAAACATTGCTGAATAGGGAAGGTCATTAAAATAAAAGTGGTGTCACGGGGTGGGGGGAAGCATTCTTTTGACACTCCATTTTGTTTTACAGGCACACACAAGCCACATCTTCTCTTGTATTTGAATAGCTTGCATCTCTGCTCTTGAAAGTCAAAAATCTGTGAGGTTTTATAAGAAATTTTTCCCAAAAGTAGACTTGGAAAAGGTAGGCTTTTAGATTGATCAAATATTTCACATGGTGTAACCAGTAGACACTTTGATTTAAATAGTGTGTGTATGCTATTGTGAAATCTTTTGGGCATGTTTATATTGTCAGTTATTGGGTAGAAAATAAAGTTTGTGCATGTTTTAATATGGTATATAATCATGTGGTAAAATAGGGTTTATTTCTTATAGTTCTATATTGCTGGATATATTACTGTATTTTAACTGTATGCTAATTATGAGGAATGTTGGAAATGAATGTATAATGCTAGTTTGGATCTTACATTCTCTAAGTGTTGGTTTTACAAATATTAGTGATTTGAATGAGTGCATCTGCTAAATGCTGTAAATAGCATTGAGTTACGGCCATATTTGAAAAATATTTTTGAAAATTCTCATCATATGCAGATATTTTTAGCAACCAATTTCTCAAAAATTTATTTTATCGTAAAAACTTACTTTTTCTTCATTTCAGGCAGTCAAGTACGTGAAACAATTTCTCGTCTTCCCAAATTAATTACCTATGATGTAAAAGCTATCAAGGTTAGTGAATATACTAAAATTTTGTGCATGCATGTGTTTTTTTTATTTTTGCCAAAAAAGCTAATAACTTTAGACTTGTGCCCTTGGAAATGACATGAATTGATTTTTCTCTTCATTCTTTTCTACCACTGGAAATCTTGACAAAATTGTCTGGTCACTGGCATGCCACAGTGATAGAAAAGGTTGTGGATGAGTGAGTACTTGGGCAAACCACTCGCACATAATTAGCTTACTGTCCAGGCAGTAGCAGTACAAAAAAAAAAAATTATCTAAAGTAACAAAAAAAAAAGTCAAATTTCTAATAGTATAAGATTATAAAAAGAAAATCTTTTACTTTATGTTCATTATATTGTAATTGATGTGTGAAATCTTTTCTATTTTTCTTTCTCTCTTTATTTGTTTCTTTTCCTTTCATTCTTGCATATCTTTCCCTCTCTTGTCTCTTTCCCCCACTCTCTCTTGTTTCTTGTCCTTTCACTCTCTCTCATCTCTTTGCTCTTTTCTTCTGTCATTTTTAAAATTTTTTTACTTTCAATTTTTTTCCAGGATATCCACTTCCAGATGAAAGAATTTCTTGGATTCACTAATTCTGACCTCCAGAAAATATTCTTGACCTCTCCCAGGGTTTTCCTTTCCAGTATGTACACAAATAATTCTTTAGAACACACATTTACTTCTCATTTATAAAAATCATTTCAATGCTGATTTAAATCATTTTGTGTTATTTCTTTTTTTTTGTCTGCATTTCTCAGATGAGGACTTTATCATTTATTTACATTCAGACTAATATCCTCATCTTTGTTGTTATTTTGTTTGAATTTCTGCTATGAGAAATTATCATTATTTACATTCAGACTAATGTCTTCATCTTTGTTGTAATTATCACATTTCAGTAGTGTTGGTTTGTGAATTTGGTGATACAGTAATTGTGAGTTCAATCCCTGGATTGGATAGTGCAGACTCAGACACACTGTAAACAGGATGAGCAATACTAAATATGATGAGTTAGAAGCCATTGTCAAAATGCAAGATAACACGATCAGAATTAATATAGTTTTCAATAAAAAGAAAAAAAAATGTCAAAAAGGATGAAACAGCAACAATCATGAGAGCAAGCGAGCAATATAGTTAAAGCAAATCAAAATTGATAAGAAGGCAAAAGAATTTTACAAACTATGAGTTGGTGTTTGTATACAAAAGCAAAAGGTCAGACAAATGAACACATTAGGTCTATCTAATAGTTCAGGTAGATCTGGACTGAGGATATTTATTCGTAAAAAACAGAAAATGTGGCATAAGGCCTAAAAAAGGAGATTAGGAAATGGCGGTCAGCATCATCTGTCTTAATTTGGTAGATCTGGACTGAGTTATGTAAAAATGTAAGTTGTCCCATTTTATTGGCTAAGAAAAATATCCCAGCATGCATTTTGTGTCCTTCTGATTATAAGCGTAGGAGGGGGAAAACTTTTGCAATCATTCCCAGCCCATTGTGAAATCAACAAAATAAGAACAAGACATGTTGCGGATATGCCTCTTCTTGTTGAGAGGTGTGGATGTTTCTTCAGTAAACATTTAATGACTCCTGCTACATTTGTTCTGCAAACAATATTTGTTGGACTCATGTGAGTCCAGGTAAAAATAAGATACACAAAACATGGAATTTAAACAAACGACAAATGTGTTATAGACAAGCGTATGGTTGCAAGAAAGAAATATGACAACAGTAGAAATAGATTTACGTGGTTTATTTCAACAGGAACGTAAGGGTTTAGGACAGCTACCTTGGTGTGGTAAAGTTTATAAGCCGGCTTTCGGATCTAGGTCGATCTCTCATAGTAGTTCACACATGTTGACGGTGGTTGACGCTCTCCTGCTGACAGCTGCTAAACGTGACCGGTCTCCTTTCTGGCCACCTGTTGACTGCTGCTGAACTTCCCTGTGACCCCTTTTATAGCGTTTTTTATGGCTTAACAGGCTCGAAAACGAAGCGAAAGTATAATTAGGAGGAAGCATTTTTTATTGGACGAAAAATAGAGCACTTTAATTATTATTTTATTTTTCGACCGGAACACGTGTGTCGGAAATATTTGTAAAGAAAGTTAATGGTCATTTTGTGACGGGGCTTTGTCCCATTCGCATCCGGTTCTTGCTCTTGAGTATTTGCCTGTAAATCAGCCGAGATATGTCATTTTATTTTATAACAAATGCATGTATTAACACAAGGAAATTACATAGGTGTGTACACAATTGTAAAAGAAAAAATAATAAAAACATAGCTATTAAGAGTGTGCTTGTTTATGTGTGAGAGTTCAGTTTTCAAATTGATCAAGGAAACAAATGTGCCCCAGCAGTGATGTTCTTTATCTACATGCTACTACATCTGGAACAAGAAGAAGGAAAGAAGGGAAATGTTTGCTTTTTTTTTTTATAGACTTAAACAGTGCCTCTTAACAGATATCCTTAAGGAACGTACAGTGGAAGAAGAACAACCTATCAATGTTAATTAAATAAAGTGTTTAAATTTTCCTGAAGGTTATCCAGATTGACAGACATCTGAAGAAGGCCAGAGAGCACAACACTTGAAACATTGTGAAAAATAACAATAAAAATGAGGATACACTATTTACATTATTTGGACTATTGTCCTTGCCATATTTATTACAATGTTTCGGCCTTCTTCAGGTGGTTGGAATGTTGAACTGAACACTTTATTTCGCTCACTGGGGTAGACTGTTCTAGTTCTACATGCCATGTTCCAACCACCTGAAGAAGGCCGGAGTGTACAATGGCTGAAACATTGTAATAAAAATGGCGACAAAGATGAGGACAATAGTCCGAATAATGTAAATAGAGTACATAATACGTCATCTCAGAAATATAGACAGATACCAAAAATAAGGATATTAGTCCAAATGTAAATATTGTATTTCCTCTATTGCTGTACAGTTAGACTTTGATATGCATTTATATATACGTACATATAGGTGAGAGGGGAATGATGTTGAAAGACCCAAAACCCCTAATGATCCTCAGCTAAAAACATCACTGATGATACGTGCCAAAGGATCAAATATATATTTCATGAAAAAAAGTTATCATTCATAATCTTCACTTTCTATCATATCCTCTTTCACTCATATGACACCTCTGTCCTGGGTATGACAATAAACTATGTCCAACGGCAAGGCCTCTTATCAGGAGGTTTTGAAGAGTGTCAAACCACCTCTTAATTGCTGGTGTTCCTAGGTCCACCTTGACCCGGGGTGGTAGCACCTGTTAGGGTCCCAGCTATGGGCAAATAGTTAACCCCCAAACTGTGGCCAAAACACTATGAAAGTTTAAAAATAGGTTTTAATACCAGAAATACTTTGTAAAAAAATTATTACCAGCAGTACATTTTTGAAAAACAAATATTACCAGCAAAGGAAAATTATTACCAGAAATAGATTTTTGAAGGAAAAATATTGTCAGAAATAGATATTTGGTAAAAAATATTATTAACAATGAAAATTTTGTCAGCATTAAATAACCCATTGAGGTAAAACCGTAAACCAAACCAAACATATCACACCTCATTCATTATAACCATCTTAATATTAGCCCTCTACCTTGAGTGGCTTTTGAGCCTTCAATTGGGTGAATTTTAGTATTTAAAACATAAAATTAAAATCTACATTTTATAATTTGTCAAAGTGTGTTTTAGAGAAAAGGAAAGAATTTTCTTTTTTTTTCTTTTTTGCTGTCCACTTCCAGGTTCAACCAATTCTTTATTTTCTTCTTTACAGATAAATACATTTTGACAAAAGTATTTGACTATCTTCACAATGAGATGGGACTGAGCCATGCACAGTTGATGCTGTGGCCAAACATATTCCGCACACGGTTGTACCGAATTAAAGAACGACACGAATTCTTGAAACACCTGAAACGGCACCAGTATGACTTGGACAAGGAGAACTTTGTATCACTGAAGACACTTGTCTCTGATGATGACAAGACATTTTGTTTGAATGTTGCAAAATCTTCCACAGCAGAATACAACCAATTTCTGAAAACTTTGTAAATTTAATTGCATTTTATATATATATATATTATATATATATATGAAAATATATTTCTTGTAATTGAATTGTTTTTCATGTTATATTTTCATTTGTTCATTCAACTCAATATTTGCTCCTTTCATTGTGAGGATGAATGGCCTAAAATCAAATTGATTGATTGAATCGGTTTTTTATGGTTTATCAACCATTTGCACGTTATTTAAAGGCAGAAAATATTTTTAGATTGTAAGAATTTTTTTGAGATAATGCTTTAGTGATACAAGTCTTACTAATTAACCCATAACTGGAGGGTGAAATGGATTCATATCTTTCCCAAAGGTATTTACATATAAGTGAATATAACCAAGCAAGAATTGGAAGTCTGTGCTCTGATTAACAATTCCAAGTCATTATTCATTACTCAACCTACACATCCAAGCTTACAGTACCTGGTATTCCCAAGCAGTCACCCCCCATTCTAGGTACTGACCAAGCTTGGTGTTGCTTAACTTCGGTGATTGTATGGGAACCAATGTTTTGATGTGATGTGGCCATAAACCTGAAAATCCAAATAACTTGTGTGATTTTATGTACACACACACACATATATATATATACACACACACATATATATATATATATATATTTATAAAGAATTAATGGAATTATTTTTAATCCAACAATTTTATCACTTCAAATGTAGTGTTCACTATAGTAATATTTGAAATATATATATATATATATATATATATATATATATAATTTTGTATATCAACAAACATTATTTAGAAGAATATGACAAACTGGAAACTGTTAGTTTTGAATTCTATTTATGAGCATTCAGAATTTGCAGCCCTCAGTATTTACATGAAGAGGAGAAAAATATTGAAAATACATTGAAGACCCTTCAATACCCTACTTCATTTTCAATGCAAAACAAAAGGCTCATAAAATATTCCAAAATAGAAGAGCTGTCGTTCCTGAAAAACCTAACAAGTCAAAAAATATATTATTCTACCCATTGACTGTATCACAACTACAACTGAAAAGAATTTATCTAAACTCAACATAAAGTTTGTCACAATTACATCCAAAACAATCATAGACTTAATCAATAAAAGACAAAACAACTAGCCAAAACTTGAAGGAGGAATTTACTCTACAAAATGCAAGAATTGCCAGAATGAATACATTCGAGAAACCTCAAGAGACTATATGAATGCAAAAGGGACATTTTAAATAATAACACACAAAACACATTGGTTGTTCACTATAACAAAATGGATGACAGTTTTGACATAGGGACTACTATTTTGATTAAACAAGAAAATAATCCACTGAAATGAAAATGCCTGGAAAGTGCCTTGATCACTAGTTCAGGCATGATAAATTTGCATCCAGGCTTTTACAATATATCACCATTCTTGGTAGATGTTATCATAGATTTTTGTCACAGTGTAGGATAGTCAGGAACAAAGGTGATGGAGAGAAAAAGAATACAGATGAATTTGACTGGACTGTAAAAAAAAAATTCTTTCAAAAGATTTTGAAACTACCTGCATGTGTAGATGTGGCAACATCAACAAAGCCCAGTCCAATGAAATCCTAATGGATGAAATGTGTCACAAAAAACCTTTCCAGTTTGTCATATATATATATATATATATATATATATATATATATATATATATTTAGAGGAAGAGTCCACGTGTTCTTGTAGCATTTAAAATAGGTTGGTTAATAAAACAAGGGAAAACGAAAAGGTACCAATGTGATCAGTGCGAAAAGAATTTATTATATATTAATTGTTAATTACAAGACAGGAATTAAGCATGGAGATTAATGTTAGTCCGAAATAAACAGAGAAACGGGGGTGACTCACCAACGGTGTTTTTTGGCTGGTGTGGGCTCGTGGATGGTATTATTGGTACAAATCTGATTCCTTCTTTATTTCTCACTTGCAAAACTTTTTTGAAAATGATCGGGATAAACGTAGTTGTCAGTTTTGTCTTTATCGGTGTGGAAGTTGGGGGAGTATGATTTTGAACTAGGGGAAGAGGCTTTTAGGATATGGGGTGGGGAAGACATCCCTTATGTGGTCAGTGTTGTTGGATTTGACTAGATGGGTAGAGATCAAGAAGAAAAGAAGGTAATAAAAATAAAATGAAAGGGAAAAAAGGAATAGGAACCACAAGTAAAGGAATAAAATATTTTGATAAACATTCTTTTGGAAAACTATAGTCAGAAAATGGGTGGGGTGCAGAAAAAATAAACAGAAACATGATTGTAGTAAAGACAAAACCGACAAATGCATTTAATAACATTAATCTCCATGCTTCCTTTCTGTCTTGTGATTAACAATTAATATATAATAAATTCTTTTCGCACTGATCACAGTACCTTTTCATTTTCCCTTGTTTTATTAACCAACCTATCTATTATATATATATAGGTACCTAGAAAGAAATAATGCAATTATTAATAAGAAGAGTTGAAATTAATGCCTGCAATATTTCACAGCTCTAGCATCGCTCTTTCATAGCCTATAAACTTCTCGGTCTGCTCTTGTGTACCATCAAAAGAGTTCCTAATTTTTATTTCCCTTTAAAAATTGGTGTAGACCCCAGAAGAAAGACTCCAAATTGTGGGTTCTTTTTTAGAATAAAATATTTTTTTATTAAATAGCATTAATTTTTTTTTTTACTTACACCTTTGTGCAAATTAATTGAAAAAAATGAATAATTCCATTATTATTTACTTTTTTTTTCATCTTTTTCCAACAAAACATAACCCAGTGCACATGTTAGTACTTTGTATGTCCATTCCACAAAGTCGTTCCTTGCAGATTGACCACAGATTCTCGATTGGATTTAAATCAGGAGAGTTTCCGAGCCAATCTATAGTAATTTGATTTGCTTGCTAGCATGTTCATACAATTATTGTACACTTGGAATAACATCCCTCACAGACAATGACCATAGGACAACTAATTGACAATTTAAGACAATAGTGTCTGGGTGTGATAAAAATCATGGATGACAATATTTTCAAGGCCAAACAAATTTCATCATACAGCCCAAAAATAGATTCATATTATTGCACACCATGACAAATGGCCTAATCTGAGGAAAAAATAGAAATCGATTACACCCTGTCACTCTAGTGGGTCTAAAACTGACTGTATGGTGAAAGTAAGAAAACTAAAGCAGTTGTTCCAATTAATTTGCACAAGTGTATAATTCCAAACTTTTTAAAAGATTTCTTAGATCCTATAGTAATGAGCATAAACTATTTCATGGGATTAATATCTTCTGAAGAAACAGTAAATTTTTATATATTCGCATTTTTTAATATAAGATAAATTTTTACAGCTTGCATTTTGTCTGAAATGAGAAGGCCTCTCTTTTTTTTTTATCTAGATGGAGGTGGATAGGAAACGGCCTCATTTTTGAATAAAGCTTTCAATTATGATACTGGATAGCGGCTTGAAATGAGGAATCGGAAAGCCGAATTCAAATTCCAGTTGAATCCATTGCATTCACTTACATGCTAATAACCTTGGAAAAGGTATGAAACCTCTTCTTCACCTCCCCAGCTATGGGTAACTAGCAGGACAGACTGGGTTCTGTAGCCCTGGATGGCAACTGGTCTACCGCAGAAAGAAATGGAAACCTACTGTTGGAAAAAATCTGCCTCGTCGAAAGATACATGATCGCCTAAGCGTGTATCACGCATGGTGCATAACTGACTGACTACTGAAAACAACATGTAAAAAAAATATGGATTTAAGGTTTACAAAACATGAGGTCTTGAAAATTCCTATATATATCTTCAGGAATTAAACACACAGACATTACCAGGGAGACACAAAAATATCCGAGAATTCAAATACAAAAGACACACACACTAACTCTACAAGACCAAAAACATGATGTGACCAATAAAAAACAAACAAGACAGAATTAAAAGTATAAATTTGAATAATTGACTCCAACAGGACGTGTGTGGGGAGAAAGAATTTATTCAGAGACATCTGAACACTGCGTTGTGATAACTAAAAAAAATAAAAGCTAACCCCGCGTTTCCGCCTGAATCGTGCCTCACTCATAGAGATGGTAAAAGGGAGACAACTTCATGTTGATTAATACAAAGTATCCACCATAATTCATTTCCCAAAAATCTCTGATGAAGCTTAAATAAAAGCAAAACACATTAAATCTATTGACAGAAATACTCCCCACATAATGGCAAGACATGAATGGCAGTGATGTCTTCATCTACCATTATGTGGGAGGTATTCCTGTTGTAGCCTGTATATATTTTTCATAACTAAAAACTTCAAATTGTCTTGAATCGATATCTGATGGGGTTAAAAAAAAGATCAAAATAAAATTTCTCTTAAAGTAGCAGCATTTAAATTATTTAGCAAATTTAGTGCAACCCCTTTTTTTTTCAGCATTGGGTACCGCGGCGTGGTGTAATGGTTAGGAAGCTTGTCTCGTTACAACTGAATAGTGAGTTCAATCCTCACTAGGTGCTCCATACTTTCGACATTGTGTCACATCTAAGCTGCGCTCAGAAAATCACCTTTTTTTCAGCATGATTATCTCCCTTAGATCTATTACCTGCCTTGAAATTAAGGATTCAATATCTTAGCTTTTACTTTAACCCAAATATAGATCAAAATAAAATTTCTCTTAAAGAAGTACCACTTTTTTCAGCATGATTACCTCCCTTAGATCTATTTCGCTTTCGGTGGCATTTTAAAAAATAAATTTCATTTAAAATATTGTTTTTTACTCCAAATAAACTAATTTATGCCTTTAAAAGCTTGTGCTTGTCACATAAACACAAGCAGGTACAAAAATGACTTCAGTTTCAAATGATTTAACAATAATGGCAGAATTAGTGTATCATAGTTTAAACTGGTGAAAAGGCCAAACTATGATAAAGTCATATTGAACCAATCTTTCTGAGTGAAGGTCTTGCCTGCCTTGAAAATAAGGATGAACACAGATCACCAGAGAGCAAACACAGGTGATACCATTTTAAATAAGTAGATCATGTGATCGCAAAGGAAATGTGTGACGTCTAATTGATCACGCTTCTACACTATCCTCTCTATCTCTATACTATTCACTATACTATTTCTCTATACTGATCACTATACGGATTATTAATCGAGCAAGTACTATTATTATTCAAAGGCGTTACTATAGTTGTATTTGTAATTACAAAGTCTCTACTACAACAAGCATTACGAAAGTGACAACAAGTATTCATTGACATTACAAAAGTGGCAACGAGTATTCGTTGACATTACAAAAGTGCCAACACGTGTTTAGTGACATCACAAAAACATCTTAGCTTTTACTTCAGCTCAAATACTGAACCTTGGTACTAGTAGGAAATATACAAACATCTCAGCGACCAGGCAGGTATAAAAAAATTGTTATGAATTAGTAGATATCATAGATAAATAAATATTTTTATTAATTTAAATAATCTGTATGTGAATCTGCATGACTATATGTGTGTGTGTGTGTGAATAAGTT